GCATTATTATGCAAAGCATAATGCATTTCATCAAGTATGATGAACAATTATTATTAATGTGCAAATTCAAAATATCCATTGATAATGATTCACTGCATAAGTAATATATCATAAATATTTGACAGTCAAACCTTATTTCTTGATTTTTTTTTTTTTTTTAATCCTCTAATCTTTGATACTCTTACAATTTTCTCAAAAATCTAATCTTAATCAACATCACCATTTTACCAAAATTCAAAACTTTCTGCTTCAAATGACGAATAAGTTAAGCTCGCAGTCGCCTTTCTCTTCTCCGATCAAAGCTCACCTCAATCAAAATCAAGGCACTCAACCTTCTTTTGAATCGATGCACTTTGTTGAGAGCAGAAGGTCTCTCTAATCTCTATCAACTTTTAGAATTCAGTCATCTCCTAACCAACAAATCCTAATTTTGTTGAAATTTCAGGTGAAGGGTGGAAGCAAGAGCTCATCAGGTTGAAAGGGATTTTCGAAAATTCTACATATATAATATCTTGAGAAAACTCTTGCACACGAATTTTACCAAAATTTTGCATATAAAATACCAAAATCCGAAACGAGAGGTAATTTCTTCCCAGACCGTAACTCCATCGGTCTTGCTGGATTGGGGATGGTTGGAACTCGTTATTTTTCCTGCTCATCTCTTTGGTTTGTTGTTTTTTATTCAAGTGCTTTATTTGAAATTGGGTTGATATACATACCAAGAAATGGTGAGAGGATCGAAGATTGTTTCATGTGTACCAATTCTTCAAGGTTCTAGAATTCTACAACATCATCACCATATTAGGTTGGAGTGAAACTAGGTTTTGCAATTTCAATGACCCGGTTTGGGCCCTAAGGTCGATCAGATTGGTCGCTACGTTCCACCATCTAATAGCAAGTCAATCTGGGTTAATTGATTAAGTCGTTTTATCTTTAGTTCGGATTGATGGAGGCTTTGGTTCCCGGTTTGGCCCTAAGTCGGTCGAACTGGTCATTACTATTCCACCAGTCTGACAGTAAGTCACTCTAGGCTAATGACGAAGTCGGGTTTATCTTCGTCCGGACTAATGGAGGCTTTGGTTCTCGGTCCGACCGTCGAATTGATCGCCAGGCTGGGCTGGGTTTCGAACACTGGTTTGTATCCTGAAACTGTTGCTTAAGTTATTGCCACTACTGGAGGCTAAGTTTATTACGATATAAATTCAGGGGGAACAAGCCTTGCACCCTATAGAGGTCGTAATAGGAGGTTGTAGTAAGCCTTTTCATGGCCATGAGAGGCTAAAATGGTCTCCCAAAGGCAACAATGAGGTCAATCTAATGCCCTTAATCTTGTTGGCCGTGGGAGGTTGGATTTATAAGAAAGCAAATAAGGGGGAGATGAAAAAGGGGAAGAATATGGGAGGAAGAAGGAGGACAGGGAAGAAAAATTAAAGAAGGGGGGAAAGGAAGAAAAAGAAAAAAAGGAAAGGAGAAAAGAAGAAAGAAAATCATTAGGGTGTGTTTGGTTCAATGAATGTTATATTAATGGAAAGATAGATTACCTAGAAAATTAATGGGAATGTTTAGGGAAATGTGTTTTGTTGGTTGCAATAAATTGGTAAGTATATTATATTAATATGTTTGGTTGAGAGGAATAAATTGGTGATATGTTATATAAATTACTAAATTGCCCTCTTTTTAAAATATTAATATAATATTATTTTTATTATTAATTTTTGAATAATTTCTTTTAACCCATGCATTTCAGATTTAGCTAAAACACCCCAAAAAAAAAAAAAATTTAAAAATTAACAAGAACACTCGCACCCACCCAAAGCCACTATCGGTGGCCTACCACTACCGCCGGCAGCGACGAAAGTGGAGATCTGGCCGTGAAATGACGGCTATTTCACGGCCACAGATTTGGCCGTGAAAGGCCAGAGGTGGCTGTTTCTTGCCATGGATTTGTAATCTATGGACGAAAACAACCTTATTGACGCACAACCAACCAGATATGGCAGGTCGTGCACCATTCCGTCACCGTCGACGGCGACGAAAGTGGAGATCTAGTCGTGAAAGGCCATATATGGTTGTTTCTGGCCATGGATCACAGCGTACAATTGACCAGATATGGTTGGTCGTGCGCCATTCCGTCACCACCGGCGGCGACGAAAGTGGAGATCTGATCGTGAAAGGTCAGATATTTGACCATGAAACGACAACCGTTTCATGGCCACAGATTTGGCCATGAAAGGCTATCTAGTTGTATGAAGTTGGTAACGGCGACGAAAGTGGAGATCTAGTCGTGAAAGGCCAGATATGGTTGTTTCTGGCCATGGATCACAGCGTACAATTGACCAGATATGGCTGGTCGTGCGCCATTCCGTCACCACCGACGGCGACGAAAGTGGAGATCTGGTCGTGAAAGGTCAGATATTTGACCATGAAACGACAATCGTTTCTTGGCCACAGATTTGGCCGTGAAAGGCTATCTAGTTGTTTTTGGCAGATCCATGGTCGAAAACAGCGTTATCGGCGTACGACTGGCCAGATATGGCTGGTCATGTGCCATTTCGTCACCGCCGGCAATGGTGGCCAGATCCAGCCACCACCATTGGGTAATTTTTTAAATTTCAGGGGTATTTATGTCCAAAAAACTTTGTATATAAGGATAAAATAGTCAATTTGTATTTTTGTAAATTGTTTTTAAAATAACGGCATTATTGTTCTAAAATTTTATTAATAAATGGTAAAATTGTAACAAAAATAAGATTGTTATATAATCTTAAAATACCTAAGAAAATTGAGGTAATCAGATTTCCTCCTATATTATCAATAGTAATTACTATTGGTATTGGAAGATAACCAGAATATCATATTACTTGACAACCAAATGTGATAATCAAGTAATATAAAATATATCATTAATCTTATATAACCTCCGACCAAACATACCTTTAGGGTTACTATGAAAGTTTCACCAAAGGTCAAAAATACCCTCCTTAAAAAACTGAAATATCAACAATACTCCCAGGTCAATTAATTTTAATTGAAAGTTATTCGGGTTTGTTCGGTAATAACACCACTCAATTTTTTATTACTATTAATAATGTCACTAAAATCCAAATCTTAAAATTAAAACCCGTTTGGTTATGTTTTTGGGAAAATAAATTTTGTTTTCCAAGGACATAAAATAGAAGTTGTTGGGGGCTCCTTTTAATGGTTTATTATTTTTTATTTTTCACATAACACAAAAAATATTGTTCTCTTTTTTAAGCAAAGGAATCACCAAAAACAATAAAGCACTTTATATAGTTCTCTCAAATTATTTTTTTAGAACTATAAAATAATTTTAAGTTGTTTTCCTCTTCATAATTTTTTTGTAAATTAATTAAAAATATCAATAAAATATTTTAATTATAAATTCACAATTTTTCTGTTATTGTCCAAAAATTATAAAATATGTTTTTCATTGTTTTTATATATCAATATTAATGCATCCTCCAAAAATTGAAAAATAGAAATTAATTGTTTTATTTCTATTACAAGTTTATTTTCAAAAAAAAAAAAAAAAATTGAACGACCCCAACACATTTCCTAAAATTAGATATACCAAGTAATATTTTAGAGAAATTCCTGCTTAATTCTTCCTGGGCCCATAAATTTGCCCTTAATCGTCAAAGTAAGTTAAACTCAGTGGGAAAAAAATAATTACATTATATTAAGGCATTCTCATTGAGCTTTCTTAGGTTTAACCAAATAACAAGTTCTCCTAAGAGTTAAAAAATAACGTAATTTCCTCTAATGTTAGTAAACCGTTAAATTGTATTCGATGAGTAAGCAAATATTTACCAAATTACCCCTATGTCATTTATTTTAACACCAAAACTCAAGGCAAATTGATATTTTCCCACTCTTGGTTTAAGAAACTATCAATGTTCTATCTTCCGTTAGTCTTCATCTAGACGAATTTTCATTTGACGAGCTTTAACCATTTAAATATCATTTTTACCCTTCTAAATCTATATTATGAGAAAATGAATAAATTGATAAATTACTTTAATAACCTAAATTAATAAAATTAGAAAATAACCACACATTTTTCAATTTGCACCCTCTTGTTCATCTCTGTAATTTTCAAACCACAAGACAAAAAATCAAAATTTTACATCATCAACCATCACTGAGCACATCAAAATCGAAACTCATCACATATGGTGTTGTGGCTACTACTTTCTTTGAGATTGAACTGAAATATGTAAATCATTATAAGAAAGTTATCGACAAAGTGTTGTATCCGGTTGGATCAATTTCTTAATTCAACACAAAGCCTTTTGACATGGCAGAGAGAGGAAACAAAGCTTTCACTGAGAAAGATTACTCGATTTCATGGCTTGACTCAAAGTAAACCAACTTAGTAACTTTACGTTTGTTTTTGGAGTTTATGTAGATTTACAAAGTCACAGCTTTCAAAGATTGCTGTAGGCCTTGAAGCTTCAAAACCCTGTTTCATTTGGGTCATTAAAAATGGTTTTTTTGTAGAGGATTTTGAGGATAAAGGACACATAATAAAGGGTTGGTGGGTTAAGTTCTCATATTGAACCTCCTTGCAATTGGTGGGTTTATGACCCTCTGGGTGGAACTTGGTTGTGCCCATTCAGTTGAAAATCAAAGTTCCAATTGGTGAGCCGCAATGGCATGGTCTTGGCTGCGCGGCGTTGCAATGGACTAACCTGGCCAAGGCACTGTTTTTAATTTAATTGTTTTGTTTTAAAATTTGTGAAAGTTTTGGAAAAGAGATTAGGTTTAATTATCTCTAAGGTTATAGTATATTCATCATAAAGATTGTAATACCCTTTGACCGTTAAGTTTAACGGTTTGAATTAAAAAGTCGGTGGAATGTTGATAGTTTTCAGAACCTGGGGGGGTTGGGGTTGGGCTTGGGCTTGGGGTTGGAAGGGTGAGAGAAGTAAATATATAAAAAATTGATAAAATATTATTATTAGATCAGCTTATGTTATCTTGCTACCTCTGTCTCCTTCTCATTCTTTTCTCTCTCTTACCTTCGACGAACCCGAAGAAGAAGCTGAAGAAACTTGTAAAGAAAATCATCTAAATTTTGTAAGAACAACCATTCTCTCTCGTTTCAGATCTTTTCACTTTTCTTCTCTTCCATCTTTCTGTATTTTCCTTTCTTTTTTTTTTTTTTTTTGGATCGGATCCTCGTTCTTCACGTGTATTTTGCTGAGTTTATTTTATTTTATTTTTGCTTGTTTTTTCTTCATCCTCGTTTCCATTTTATAATTAAGGTGTAAATATTAAATCTTGATAGACGTATATATGTTAGATCCATTTTCTTCTTGTAATTCTGATTGCTATTTGTCAGCTTTTCAGCGAAGAAATGTGAATGCTTGAATATATATTTTTTTTCAGTAATTTTTCTGTGGATGTACGGTGCAGCTGATAAAAAATGTGAAGATATAAATTTTTCTGCCTTTTGTTTATTGTCATTGGTTAATGGTTAGTGGATAGCTGTTTAAAGTGGTTGTATATGTTCTGTTACAAAAATTCCAGAAAATGCTGTCAATTTGAGATGAGGATGAGCTGCTATATATTTGCCCCCAATTGTAGGCTTAATGATACATGATATTTTGGGGACATATTATTGGAATGACTGGTAATGCATGAAGTGTTTTTTTTTTTTCCCGAATGAGAGATTTCCAGAACAGGGAATTGTTCTAGGTTATGTGCCTTATGTAAGAATTTAGCTGTATGATTCATAAATTCTTCAAGGGAGTCCCTCTTTAGAATATATAACGTTTTAATGTCTCTGACTCAACGAAAAGTTGAAAATTGTTTTTTTATTATTATTCTTTTGTGTATGGCGTGGTCCACACTATGATTGCATTATATTCATCTAGCCGTTTGGATGTAGCTTATCGTTATATTGATTGTGATTGTCATTGTGATTATTATTACTATGTTATTTGTTTTTCTTGTGTACTTGTTTGAGAGAGGGAGAGCGCTATAAAGTATTCTACAATTTGAATGCTATAGTGCAGAAGAGGGAGTGAGGGGGGCAATACTGTGTATGGAGCAGAAGAAAAATTCATATATTTGCTGGTCTGGATGTTCCATCGTGGTGTGGTGGAAGGGACGTATCTTCGCTATGCATGCTATATGTGAGGTGATTTTGTAAACTCACCCACACTGTAGCCCCAGATACATCCACTGCATATGAGCACATGTAGTCATTAATTATGCAGTCAGCAACACAGCAGTTCAGTCTAGGTCACAACATAGCTCTTGGCAGAATTGACATTGTGTGTCAGCTCTTACCGACAATTGAACAATGTAAAGTTTGCAATCTAATCTGCTACTACTTTTACTTAAGCATCATAAGTAATCCATCCTCCAGATGCTTGCTTCATGAATTAAGGTGCTTCTTACCACTCTTGTTAATTTATATAATCCTCCTCCCTCAAACCCTCGTGTGAGTCGGATTAGAATCGAATACTTCTTGTGTAACTAAAGAGACGATACCCACAGGGCTCTTTAAATTTCACTCCTGAATACTTGGAAAAATAGCGAATATGCATGCAATCTCCAACTATTTCCTGTGCTGGGATTTCTTAGAACTTTAAATTCTGAAAGCAATGAAGTAAGGCACAGGAAACCATATGAAAAACCACAGCCCTTTTTGTGGGGTGGGTAAGGCATGCTTGAGGCTTCTTTTTCTGTTCTTCCCTGGATGGTCCACTAATGGGTTTGTTCATATTAATTATTTGTTTATTTTGTCTCCATATGTGTAGATAAGCAACAAAGAACATTTGATGTAGTTGTCTTGTTTGATTAAGACTTCTCTTTCCATTTTTCCTGCTACATTTTTTCCTGGTTGTGGCTCAGGTGGAATTGCCCATATCTTGTGTAAAGGAATTTGGATTTGTTTATAATGTTTTCAGGCACTCATCATATGTTGTCAAGAAATATTGGGTAATCCGATATTGTACTTCTTGAATTCTTCATTCAACACGTACATTATTGCTTATAATTTTATAGCCTTGTTATCTGCAATCTTCTTCTATGGACGTGGATTCAGTTTTAAAATAAGCACATCTAAATATTTTATGTAGGTTCAGGCAAGCAGCATTGCATGTGTGTATAAAAGCAGGTCTTTAGAAATTTTGGATGTTGATGATTATGGAATCTGGTTCTAATTAAAATTCATAATTGAAATATAGAGAAGTTTTATGTTAAGTGCTATTTGTACTTTGCTCAATTGTATTTTCTTGACAGGTGGTTAAGATCTGTTCAAATGCAGTCAGATCCTGGGAAAGCTTGTTCGGGTGGAAAAGGATGAAAATGACTTAATTGATTCAAATTGTGCAAGTAACCAAGATAATACTCATCAGGAACAGATAGACTCGTCTTCTTCAACCTCTTCATCATCGTCTTCTGATGATGAGTCTATGAGAGACAGGATTGACTAATGGGAATGCTTCTAAACAATTGGTGCTTTTGATCCTACAGCTAATGGTACAGGTGAAATTGTACCTGTCCCTGAACCTGCTCAGTGTCAGCGTCTACCATTTGGGAGATACTCAGGCCCAAATATGCAATCTAGGGTTTTGCCATCTGTTGGGGCTTTCACTGTTCAGTGTGCCAACTGTTTTAAATGGAGACTCATCCCAACAAAGGAGAAATATGAAGAAATACTGGAACATGTTCTAGAAAATCCATTATATGTGAAAAAGCTCGTGAATGGCGGCCTGATATATCATGTACGATCCAACAGACATCTCCAAGATGGCAGTCGGCTTTGGGTATTGATAAGCCCAATATTGCTCAACCCTCCTGGGGTGCAACGACTATTAAGGATCCGAGGTGAAGGAAGTACCAATTGCCGATGTGTATGTGTCGATTCCTATTGTTTATTTATAAATTTATATTTTTAATTGTTAATAATATGTTGGTTATGTGGCTTTCTCTTGCCACCTAATATATTCCTTTTGTTTCTTTACTTATCATTGATGAAAACTTTTGTTTCTGTAAAGAAATAAATGGTTGCATCCTAGGTTGGTCCGTATTACGTTGAGAACATTCTTATGATCATTATTCATTATATATAGGATACTCCTCTTGGATCAAGGCATTTGTTATGATTCTTATAACTATCTTTGGTTTTTCTTAAGAATACTTAAATCTTGGAATTAAGTCGATGCTACTGTTGATTAAGGAGCTAATGGTAGTTGCATAAGTTCTTCTATGAGGTTCCTAGATATTTGACCACTAACAGTCTATTATGATAAGATTTTATTTTGTTTAAGCAAATTTGTTTGTCCTATTGAGATATTATCTACTTGTCTTATGCCTAAGAGTATATTGACACAAGTTTAAGTGGTCTAGTATTGCAATTATGTAAGCTTTTCTTGATAAATAACTTGGTGATTTTCTTTGGAAAAAGGTTCTTTATGGTACGGGGTAGTGATGAGCAAATATGGCCTTCATAATATAGGTTGGGATTCTAAGATTGTGGCTTGTAGATCCTCTTGAAGCCCTTGGAAATCTATCTCCAAAGGCTGTCCTGAATTTCTTTCTTATGTGAAGCTGGAAGTAGGGTTGGTGATGTAATTTTTTTTTTTTTTTTTGGGAAGATTCTTGGCTTCAAAATAATCCTTTATTAGACATCTTCCCTCATTTTTATAGATTGTTGGGACTTCATCGTCTCTATCAAACTAGAGTGATTTCTTTTGATGGGTTTCCTCCCACAACTAGAGTTGGAATGACCTTTTTAGGAAATTGAAGGAGATAGAGATCCATGACCTCTCTACTCTTATGGTTATGGTGGATAATGTGTCTATTAATGCACTTAAAGAGGATGGATGGGAAGTTGGGTTAATCAGGTTTTTTCTCTTGTTAATCCTTTTTCTCTTGGTTAATTGTTGACCCCTCTTACTCATCTTTTGTGCTAGGTAGAGTGATTTGGAAGTCCAAAATTCTTTGTAAGGTTCAAATTTTTTGCTTTGGCTGGGCTCAAATTGGAATCTATACAGTAAATTTATTAAAGAAATTCTCTAATATGTGTTCGACTCCCTCTTTGGTTACAATGTGTAAAAGAAACGAGAAAAACTTAGACCAATGATTCCTCCATTGCCCATTAGCTATTGGCTTGTGGTTCAAATTGATACAATACCTAAAATTTCTTGGATCATTCAAAACTTACGCAAATCCTTCTTAAAATTCTTGGACTTTTTGGAAATATGTTGTTTTGGGCAGTTTTTTTGGGTAAATTGGATTGAGAGGAATAGAAGGATTTTTGGCATTGATACCAAGGAAGACATGCATTCTTTGTGGGATAGAGTTCAACTTTTAGCTACCCTTTGGGCATCAGTTTGTAGCATATTGAGATTCTTAATTCTTCTTCATCATTTAAATTGGAATGGAGTTTTCAGTTTTGGGCTATGTTTAGTTTTGATTGTTGAGAGTGTTAGCTAGACTGGTTTTTATTTTTTAATTTAATTTTTTTAAAATTTAATGGTTGTCATTTTGGGGCTTCTGGTATGCCCTATGTCGAGCTTTTTCTTGGTTTCTCAAGCTTGTTTAGTGGATTGCTTGCTCACTTTTGTACAACTTTTTTTTTTCCCATAAACTAGTAGTTCTTTTTAAAAAAAAAAAAAAAAAAAAATTGTCTTGGAAACTAGAAGTAACACATCTCCCCAGATGGTCCATTTTCTTCAAACAAGTTGTTATTTGTCCATTTTTTGACCTTCCTAAAGAAAATTGTTCTCTTAGGGACTGCTTTAATGCTGTCGGAGGATTGTGGGCAATTGTTGAGAGTTTTTGTGGAAGATGCCTGAATGAACTTCTCTACAATAGATTATAAGGTGAAACTAGTGGTTCATGGAGGTTTCTATCAAGATATTATGGAGAATCTTCACTTCCAATACTGAAGTAGATGCCTTACGGTGTAATTTATCTTTTCCCTTGTTCATTGTAATTAGTATTGCTATACGATGTAGTTTATCTTTCTTCTACAGAAACAAGGTAAGATGACCATCTTCATAGGGTAAGATCTATCTCATTCCATCTCTCCCCTCTAACATCTATTAACATAATCTCAATTGTCATCAGTGCATACAAATATAGAAATATAGAAGTAATCTCTTGCTATGTAACTGCTCCATATGTACTAAGTTACTTAAAGTCCAGCAAAATGCCACCTTTTTAGAAGTCATAATTTTTTCTGGGATGGCAAATTTGTAAATTTTAATATATCTGCATAATCTTTGAAGGTGAATATATCTTAGCAGGTCACTAAGAGAATATTTAGCAAAATGAATGCAGTTCCAAACTTTATCCAAGCGCTCATAACATCCTATTAAAATTCAAAATTCGATACATATGAAATTGGAGGTAGATCTTTGTTTATTTCATATTTCTTTGGACTTTGCAAGAATCCATCAACATTTCCTCCTGATAGTTATCCAGAGTCTGAGCAACGTGATGATCATAGTAAGCAAGTATTTTCTCTACCTCTGTTATTAGCAGGATGATCTGTCATTCTGTCATTGCTTTATATCGTCCTTTTCTTCCACCCATTTCTGAGGGTTAAACATGAGGAAATATGGGGGATGGCTCACACTAAAAACACATCACCTACTGCCATTTTGTTATGTTTGACTCATGTGTCTCTCTTAGTTGCTAGTGTAGATTACACTGACTCCCCCTCTAGCATGTGGGATGACAAGGAAGTCCCCTCTAATAAACAGTGACAGGTCATTCCTTTTGTTGGACTTAGATTACATATTATCCACCAATTATGATATAACCTTATTAGTTGTATAATCCAAAAAACCAAGATTAGCAAACAACCTAACTGGAGGAGTTATTTTGTTTGAGAATAGAAGCAGCTTCTGAGTTAATTTATGAAACTGAGAGGTTTCAGTATAATTTAGCCTAGTTTATATCATTGTATCTTCATAGTACACCTGATAGTGCACTGTTATTATCTTAGCTAGGAATTTCTTTGTCAAGGTTTTCCATCCAGCATTCAACTTTGTTATAATTTTTTCTTTAATAATTTCAGGTATTATGAAGCACCATCTGGAAAGAAACTTCGCTCAATGGTCGAGATTCAAAAGTACGTTTTTCCTCTAATGAACCACTTTCTTATTAAGAAATTTTATGCCTGTTTTGTTTGTCATGTGCTATTATTTCATTTGTTTAACTAGATAACTTGTAGGGTGGACTTTGTAGGTGTTAAATATTTATTGGACCTCTATTGATTTACTTTTGTAGGTACTTGATAGAACATCCAGAGTATACCAGAGATGGCGTAACTCTCTCACAATTTTCATTTCAAATCCCCAAGCCCTTGCAGGAAAATTATGTGAGAAAGCGTCCTGCTAAAGTGGCTGCTGCACAAGATCCTATTAAATCTCTTGAACCTGGTGAAGGTACTGAGAAGAAACTACTTTCTGACACAAACTAAACATGGAACTTATTTGTCTGCTATTCTTGACCTGATGCGATATTTTTAAAAAATGCATAATTGGAATCTGTCGTTTGACTTAAATAAACTTGATTGTCTTTCTGATGTTGATGTCTTTCTGAGAGATGGGTTTCTTTTATTTTTCAATGCATAATGGAATAGGAAATTCTTTTATTTGAGATCAGTTTTTTATCTGAGATGTTTCTAAGAGCAGTGAAATTCTGCTCTTGGAAAGCATTTGGTTTTATGAGATGGTAAACGATTTCTAGATATTTCAGGAAAATGTGTTTTTTTTTTTTTTTTTTTTTCTAATTTGTTGCAATGTGAAACAAGGTGGTTTACCTGGGACCTCTTTTAAAGGATCTTGCAACGAGATTTTCTAATTCCTTTTACTCCTTTTGTTCAAGTTTATCTTTTTAATGTTTCTTTATGCCTGTACACCTGTTTGATGCATTCTCTCAGTAGGCTTTGTTGGCTCTTCTGAAACCATATAAATGTTTTCTAGTGTCAGTTTCTCTAACATCCTCTCATGCTATCATCATCATCTGAACTTCCTACTTGATGCCTTACGAGTTACGACTGGAAATCTCGTACTAGAAATTTTTACTGGTTCAGGGTCGAAAACTTTTGTAATTGTTATTACAAATATTGTAAAAATTGGAGCTGGTGTTCCAACACAAACACCTTTTATATAAAGCTTTTCTGCTTCTAGATGTATCAATTCCTTGCTTATGACATCTAGAACTATTTGGTGCTTTGATTAACCACGGCGTTGCCTAATAATATTTTTTTATTTTTTAATTTTTTGGGTGACCTCAACGGTCTGAGTAGTTGAGTCGCCCATCAAT